AGATATTTTTCCTGTAATCTGAGAAATTAAAGATTTATAAACTTGAATGTGTTTGAAAGTTATTATGAAGGGACTACTCCAGCACTCATTTACAACCATCTGAGCTTTATTAAGTGTCCAAAAAAAAAAAAAGCAATCGCTTACAGTTCTTCTAGAAGACAGAGCTCCAAGGCAGAGGGAGTGGGAGAACAGTAAACAGGCAACGTGCACAGCCTACACTAGAGCAACAGCCACGGAGAGCTTCTCGAGTATAAATACAGAAGTTGAATCTATTGGGACCAATTTGGAGCCTCTTAACCCTGCAGTGATCCAGACTCCACAGCTTCCTGGTACGAATGCCCGCCCTCCTTCGGCTCTGGGAACAGTTTGATAAGGTCATCGATGCGGAGGATTGTGATGGCAGCTTCAGTTGCAAACTTGAGGCTCTTCGTCTTAACCATCGTGGGTTCGTACACACCGGCCTGACGGTTATCTCTGGGTTTGCCATTCACCAAGTCCAGACCAATCCTAAAGGACAAGGAATCCAAAATATGCAAATTCACTTAGCGTCCAAGACAGATTAACTTCAAAATAAAATCTTACTTTCATACAGTTCTGTCTAAAAAAATATATATATAATCTAAAAAATCTGGCATATTTAAACAGTTTAAAGACAAAATAGGAAAATCTAACAGCAGATTAACTTTAGGATCAAAACTGACTGAGAAGGAACCAGAGACAAACCACTGACAGTGTAATTACATGTTAGTAGTGTGCTCGTTTAAGGACTAACTGAATGGAAATGCCTAATAAACAAACTTGCAGCCGAGGTAAGACTCACCACTTGAGATTCTTGCGTTCAGGGTTAACCTGAGCCTCATTGTGGAAGGCCCGCAGCTTGGCCACCAGGTCAGTTGAGTCCTGTGCTGCGTTCACAGCCAGCGTCTTGGGGATGACGAGGAGAGATCGAGCAAATTCTGCAATAGCCAGCTGCTCTCTGGAACCCTAAAGAGATTGAAGCAAATTGATGAGCACAATTTACTTTAATTAAAAAATAAATAAATAAAAAGCATCAACCCCAGATTCCCAGCAGCTGCTAGCTCACCATGCTGGTAGCATAGTTCTCCAGATAAATTGACAGGGCTGCCTCCACAGCACCTCCTCCGGGCACTACAGACTTTGACTCCAGCACCCTCTTGACCACACAGAGAGCATCATGCAGTGAACGTTCCATCTCGTCACACATGAAGTCATTAGCTCCACGCAAAATGATGGAGGCTGATGTGCGTGCTTTGGTACTGAGGGGAAAGAAAGTCAGGAAATATAGTGATCAGAATGAGAATCAACTCTAGATGTAGAAACAAAAAAAGGACTTTAAAATCAAATACAAAATTATCAAATCCAAAACTAGAACTTGATCCCCTGCAACAAACTTTGTTTTTAGAGACAAGAAGACGAGCCAAACCAGTCCTTTAGGTCTGTAAACTTTCCCTGGGTATTCAAGGAAATTCAAGGAAAATGTAGTCCTCACTGAATCCTCACATTTCATGTTAATGTAACATGAAGTAGGTTACAAAATCTTGCATAAGGCATCTGACATCAGTTACAGACTCATTCTGGAAGTCACTATCTCTGAAATAACTTCTGAGGCTCTCAACTCATCTCTTAGCCATATTTCTTGGCATTTGACTGATTTTTTTGTTTGTTTGTTTGTTTTTTGGTCCACGTCCACCATATGCTGTGCTATGAATGCAATCAATTTGTTTCCAGTTGTCATACAATGGTTTACAAGCCTACAGCAACTCATTCAAGTTAAACTGGGCCAACACGCAGTATCAGAATAAACAGAGAAACCCAATACCCTAGCAGTATTGAGGCTCTAAACCAATTAATGCTAAACTTGAAAATATATGGCTCATTCAAACTGACCATGCCATTCAATTACTTCCAATTTTTATCAGAAAAATGTGAGCCTATTCCAAATGGATTTGTATTATTCATAAACAAGGGAAAACCCTCAACTTTTGCCAAAGCTGTAGAAGAAGTGCGCTTAATTAAATCCTTTATACTCATGCAACTGCAACTCACCACTACTCAAGCAGCTGCTAGTTCTTATTTCTTACTTTTTGACAAGGATGAGCTCGTCATCACAGACGCGCTCCTGCACAACCTCCTCAGCTTGGCCAAGCATAGTAGCCTCAAACGTCTCCTCTCCTTCCAGATTGGTCAGAGAAGGGCAGATGGTGGCTATGAATGGACAAACACACACACAAGGTCAAACATGAATATTTGCTGGTGGAAACTCTAAATTTAAGTGTGTGACAGACGCATCTAAATGCATACGTGAATATTAAAAGCAGTAAATGCCAATCGACACAAACTGCAGCTTACTTCTTTCTTACCTCCTGTTGCCTTTGCGATGCGTTTGAGGTCCCTCTTCAAAACTCGTCTAACAGCCATGGCTCCTACATCCACAAAATACTTCAAACACATGTCATCAATGCCACCAGTCGTCAGTATAACATTTGCGCCTGATGCCAAAATCTTCTGGATCCTCTCCTTGGTAATATCAGATTCCCTGCAACCAACCAAAAATACATATTTAGTTTTACCTCCACATTTCCTTTGTTTTGAGCTTTGTTATCAGTTTCACAATAAGCTGCAACACTTTAAACAGTATATTTATAAAGGCATGCTATGCACAAAGTGTCCGGCCAACATTAGTAGTCATGCATCTCAGGGAAGAGCTGCTGCCTTCACATGTGGCTGCTTATGATATCTCCCACGCGTATCACTGTGTCAGCTAATGATGAAGCAACACAGTAAATTTAATGGGATGATTCTTCAAAATGTGTGTTTAAAGAAAAAGAAAAAAAAATGTTCAAAAATCACCTTTGTCTGATCTGGTCGAGCTTCTCTGGGTCATTAATAATAACTTGCACACCCATCTTCATTTTGGTCTTCTGCAGGCTGAAGTCCAGGCAAGCGATCTTGGCATTAACGACACGCTTCACCATGCCTGTGACACAATACATCATTTTAAAAATCCAAAGGACAATAAAAAATTAATTATAAAAACAGTTACAAAACTGTTTGAAGGGAAAAACGGTCCTTGAACTATTCTACTGTCAGGCCAAAAGAGGCTTTGCCACAGTTCACAAACTGCTGTGACTACCTTTCTCTTAGCCATGGTTACTGTCTCCCACGCGTATCACTGCATACACCATCAGGAAAGACATAGCAGCAAATTTAAATGGGAGTCTAATCAAAAGAAATCACCAACATCCTCACGTTTTACACTTAAAATCCATGAATTTCAGGCTTTGTGACAGACTTACCTTGTGAACCGACTGTGCAGTTCACTGCATACCCGTTGACCAAGAAGCTCTCCTTCTGACTGCGGCCATGGGCTTTCAGCACATTAACTGAGTTGATAGGATATTTAGCTACCCCCTTGCTGTCCACAAACTTCACAGCCATGGCAGCATCCACCACCATGTTAGCAAAGAAGTCTGCATCACTGAAGGCTTGGGTCAAGGCAATTACTTTAGAGAGTGAGAAAAGCTTTCTGCACATGCAAAATATAAACACTGGTAAATTTTGCTGATTTCCTGCAAACAAATCAAGGATACACTCCGATGATTTTGGAAGACATGGAGGTCTTAGCAGCGTTGATTAAGCATTCTCTTCCCAGGTCGTCTGTTCCAATAGTGAGATTCTCATTAATGTAGCGGACTGCTTCTCTAAAAGATAACGACAAGTTTGAGCATCACAAAACTGCAACAGATCCTAAATGATCTTATTTGGATGATTTTACATTTAACATCATCTCACTTGCAAGCCAGACGGTATCCACTGATGACTGATGTGGGATGAATCTTCTGCTTCACCAGCTCATCGGCACTCTTGAGCAACTCTGCAGCAAGAATTACCTGAGAAAAAGCAACACAAACAATGCGAGCTAAAATATGGGAACAAGCTTAATTTTCTATCAACAATAAAACTCAAAAGATACGGATCATGCACTGTACCATCATTTCTTTAAGAGTGGCAGAAATGAGGCTGCTCGACCCTTTCAGATCATGATGGACAGTTTCTCTTTCCTGTTAGCATAGCCACACACCCGTAATAAGAAGCAGGTGCATAGTACTAAAACAGGATGCTGCAATTCAGTTTCTGAAGCTCTGTATTATGTAAAATCCAACAAATTAGTTGCTAAAACATTCACAAACACCAGTGGAGCTAGTGGTAGCTACTCACCACAGATGTTGTCCCATCGCCGACCTCCTTGTCCTGCAGATCAGCCAGTTCACATAGGACTTTTGCAGCTGGGTGCTCCACTTCCAGCAGCTTCAGGATGGTTGCTCCATCATTGGTGATGGTCACGTCCTGTCGAAACAACCACAAAACACGACTGATAAGCAACTATGGCTATTATAGTTTCTGCCTCGTGATCTAAACCTATGCACTGGTTGATGTGGGAACAGCAATTTGAGTATATATTCTCCAGGCCATGAAAGGCTTTCAATATGTAAAGTCTTAACATCAATTTTTAAAGCACTGGGTAGCAAGTGTAAAGCTCCTGAGACTGGTGTAATATGTTCAGTTTTATTGGTTTTTGTAATTAGTCTGGCTGTTGCATTTTGCACAATCTGAAGTTGATTTAATACTTTCTAAGCAACACCTGTTGGAAGTCCAACAAGATAGTATAACAAAGAAGAAACAGCAGCATGAATGATAGTTTAAGTGTCAATAAAACTCGTGCATGTATTCCATCTTGTTTCTGGAGACGTTCATTCCTCTTTTCTCCAGTGCACACAAACGTGATACTGACCCCGATATCGTCCACCAACATCTTGTCGAGGCCAACGGGTCCGAGCGAGCTCTTGACGATGTTGGCAATGGATGCAGCGGCCATAACTGCAGAAGCAAAAAGGAAACTGTAACTAGCGAGCGTGATGCAAAAAGTTCAATGCATCTAAAGATACTAGGCACATCCTTTGACCTTTCGGACCTCAGTCAGAGGGATATGCTGTCATTTCATTCAGAGAGGCGCACATTCAGCTCGCCACACCTTCAGACCATGACAGAGTTTTTCTATCCCATTAGCATAACCCTCCATTCATTGTAGTACGAGTGGACGGTACTAAAATGGGATTAGACAATTGCAACACGTGCTGCAGTTGAGAAAGAATAGATTTGCAGTGTTGTAGTATAATGATAATACTACTAATAATATTAGTAATACACAGGAAGCACAATCTCTAAGTTAACATTAGCTAGCATTAGCGTGATCCACACGTGTGTTGCATAAAACCGTTCTCTTGCCCGTTATAATAAACACATAGCAGAAACGCTAATTTTATCTGACCTACAAAGTCAAGCAGCGCATAAACTCACCATTTTGAGTGCGAACAGATTGGCCAGTTGTCCTCTGGCCGAGCACATTTAACGGACCATCTAATAGCGACATTTTTGGACCACCGCACAACCAAGAAGAAAGGAAGCGGCGCAGTGCATTATGGGTAAACCGGTACTGGGAAGAAGGTTCGAGAAGAAAATATCTTAAAAATCTCGATCTTTTCAGTATGAGAGCTTTTAATTGTGTGGTAGAACTCGCTATTAAATGTTTTACATTTTTTTCACGTGATGTCGTTCACTTTTTAAATTACAAATCAACGTTTTTGTTGAGTCATTTCTTATAAACGTCATTTCCCAGCATGCCCTAAAACAGCCGCGCCGCGCCCTAGTTCTTCTTCGTGGTTTTTCCGAAGCTCTAAAGCTGTTTGTGCGCACGCTACGGTTGATACTGTTGTTATGCGGATGAATATCCTATTTCTTTTTCGTTAGTTTCATGCGGTATTTTCTTTATTTTTGTATTGAAAGATGAATATTTGTTTGTATTTATTTTTGGTCAGTACATCAACAGAAAGTCCAAACTATTTGAATTAATTTTATATTTGCTTTGACTCACAAATTCCATATACTCAATAATTTCATAATATGCTTAGCGACGAGACAAATTAGTTGCTTGGAAATAATATATTAGAGATGATATTTCCATTTCAAGCACATTTATTTTCGAATGAATTAAATATTTATATTTACAAAGTCATGATGAAACGAAAGTACACCCTCTTTAAATTCTGTTTTTCATATCAGGATAATCTAGTCCTTAGCAGATTTTAAGATTAGGTAACTACAACCTCAGATTAATTGTAAAACATGACATATGCCGTTATTTTTATTTATCAAAAACTAAGCCAAAATGAAGAGTGAAAGCAGTGAGTGGAAATCTAAGTACACCCTTACTTTAAGAATTAAGAGGGAACAAGTATGACATGTTTGGAAGAAAAAGAAAAGCCTCTACTTTATATAAAAAAAACAACAACAAAAAAACAGGATGGCAGCATGGTTTATATTTGCAAAGCTGCATCTGAACATACCTCAAACCAAAAGTCAAGTATGCGGTGGAAGGGTGATGATTTGGGCTTGTTTTGCAGTCACAGGGCCTTGACATCTTGCAGTCACTGAGTTGACCATGAACTCCTCTGTGTAACAAAGCATTCTAGAGTCAAATGTGAGGCCATCTGTCTGACAGCTAAAGCTTTGCCAACTTGAGTTATGCAGGACACAGGTCCCTACACAACAGCAACTCTACAATACAATGGCTGAAAAAGAAAAGAAGCAAGTTGCTGAGATGAGGCAGTCAAAGTCCAGAGCTCAGCTGAAAGGTTCATGGGGTGTAGTTTTTTTATTATTATTATTAAATTGTTTTAAACACACTTTAGCATTTTAGCTTAGTTTTGACTGCTCAGCTATAAAAGGCTGACTGGGGTATTGTCGTCAACTAGCCAGGAAGAGCGGACGCATAAGTTTGTGAATGGAATAACTTAAGAATGAGGTGATGTAGGATTTTGAAAGTCATACCATTAGTGCCGGGAAGTGCCTTTCAGTGCTGGGAAGTGTTCTGCCATTGCAAACAGTTTTACTTAAGTAAATGACATGCATGCTCTTCTGCTAATAAGAACTATAGTACACAACGAAAAGCTTCCTGACTGCTGTGAGTCCTATTATTCAGTGTGGTGAGATAACAAGAGGGAAAAAAAAAACAAAAAAAACCCCCACACACACAAAGGTGAGTTCAATCTGTATTTATTACCTCAAACATAGTTTGTTGAGCCACGACATCTAGCCAATTAAAAAAATACAGTAGACATAACTTAAACATCAAAGCATTAAAAAGCATACCTATGGCATAGAAGAATAACATTCCTAAAATGTACATCTTTACAAAGTGTTTACAAATTCAACGTTAAAAAAAAAAAAAAAAAAAAAAAGACAAAAAAAAAAAAAGTAAAAAAAAGTAAAAAAAAAGTAAATGAAAACTGACAATCCCCACCAGTGAAACAGGACAAAAATGTACAATGGAACAAAAATACTTCATATTCCTAACTTGTGTTTGACGCAGTTCTCCTGACATGAACAACAGGCCACGATCTTGTGCTTTTTAAAATGTTTGTGTGGTTTTCTTTTTCGTGAGTATTTATCAAGCAGTGCGTGATAGAAACATTTTCGGATAATATTCACAGTATTTGATACAAATTTTGTGAGCTCCTAAATAATAATAAAACTCTTTCAATAAATATATTCTTTCATTTACAACCAGTCGGTGGCTCGCAGTAATAGTGACACGGGGCAGTAACAGAGGGATGCTTTCAAATAAATAGGACATTCAGAAATTAAACAAGTGTGGCATAAATCTTGGGTTTGCTTTGATGGGAAAGAAAAAAAAAAAACAAATGAGTTGACGAATTGTCGAGGTGACTTTCTGGGAGTGAGGATGTAATATCAGTAGTGTGACAGTTGGGAGTGCCCCAAGACGTAAACTAGGTAAACAGATGATGATCAATTAAAAAAAACAACAACAACAACAAAAAAAAAAAAACTACACCATATACAGTACTGTAGTAAATCTCCTTAATCCTTTCCTTTGTGGTCCCTCTTAAAAGCAAAGGTTAAATTATAATATATAAAAAAAAAAAATCCACACACACGCACAATTTATTTATTGAGATGAACATTTAAGCTGTGCACGATGGATGGCCCCAGACATCAACACGTAAAAAACATTTCCGATTTGCTCACAGATTCAAAATAAATATTTAATCCTATATTTCTTATTGATCATCTAAAATATCAGCATCTTCTCAATTTTTAAAGCACGATACCCTAGAAAGGTGGTAGGCAGAGTGACGTACAATAACTTCAAATAGACTTACAAGTCTATGTTTAGTCATACTTAACCTATTGGGTCTTGTATTAGCCACTTAAAGGTGAAAAACTAGCCTGAGTAGCACATGTGAAGACTGCGAATCTGAACTGTATATTTGTAAAGCTGCTTGTTTGGAACGGTTTGATAGTGTAAGCAAATTTTTTTTAAAACTAGCCACGAATCTGGGCCACCTCTCCTATATAGGTAAATATTAACTAGAGATGAAAGTGCAGTTAAAATTAACCTTAAGAACACCACTGAAGAGGTTCTACTGACACAATCTGTCAAAGTCCACTAGATGTTTGAGTCTAAGTCTAAGACCTTGAGCACAGAAGAGAGTACATTTCAGTCAGTATCCTGAACTACTGTACAACAGTTCATATGACACCAGTTATGTCTATAAGGTTCAACACAAAAAGCAATCAAAGAGTTTGAATATTAAAATCTTTTCAGTCACACTGGACTCCTTTTACAGACAACTGAGAACTTTGCTTTGTTCTAGCGACCCCTCACCCACCCACCCCGATCTCCGGAAGTGCTAAGGCAGCTTACATGCAAGCTTTGATGTGGCGTTTTGACCGTTAATGGTCACCTATTATGTTAAACTTCAAAGCACTGTAACAGAAGGCGAAGGCATTAACATGTCATTACAAATATGGCTGATCTACACTGAGAGTTGTGTTATATTTGCTTTACATTTCTTTGTGTTTTAAGATGTAGGGCAGTCAAGGCCAAGCAGCATTGTTCCCTTTGTTGATATAGATTTGGCTTTTTAGTTGACACACAGCCTCAGGCAAAGCTGCTGGAGCTCAGACACTGAAACTTCTCCCTCAGAGACTGGACGATGTTGGGCTGGCTCTGCTGCGGCTCGTTCCACAGGTATTTTTCCAAATGCTCGTGGTCCAAAGGTCTCAGTGGGTCGCAGGAGCGGATTGGGGTGCACGGTAGACTCTGAGACTGGATAACGCCCCGATTCTGACCGGCAAGAGCGGCTGAGCTGCCGTTCTTCTGCGACAACCTGTCACGCTGTTGTTCACTCTCATCCTCTGAGCGGATTTCGACATAGTCATCGTCATCTTCCCCATTGTCCTTGAAGTTGGCCAAGTAGTTCTGGGTAGCGGTGAGTATGCTCAGTGCAGAAGCCCGATTCAGGACCACCACCTTTTGGCCATCGTGTAGAGTGAGGTCTGAAAGCCCCTGGGTAGACTGCTCTGGGAGGCTACTTTGCCGGCCAGCTCGGCCTAGACTTGGACCATGAAGTCTGTTTGTGGATCGATCTACATCGAGTCCGTTACATTTAAGTCCAGACTTCTCCTGCTGTTGGCTGCCAGTAGAACTGACTGACTGAGCAGAAGGGGAGGACTTTGCGGGCAAAGATGGTGCATTAAAGGAAGGATGTCTCTTAATGGAGCTGTACACGTGCTCTTCTTTCTCAATAGGCGCGGAAATGCACGAGCTCCATCTCTGTGCCGGTGGACTGGTCGGAGATGGAGGGAAGAAAGAAGGGGTGGAGCAGGCTGAAGTAAGCCTGCGCTGAGGGGTTGAAGATGCTCGAGCCTCTCCCACCTCGCTAGACGAGGAGACAAAGCTGGCCAGCTCTCCGTTGCTGTAGGTGGAGTGGAGCCAGTCCTCTTCCAGAGAGGTCTCAGGCATGGACGGAGAAGATGACAGACCTGGATGGGAGTGATGTGGGGTAGCAGAGGTTGGACTGGAGGAATCTTTAAACATCACCTGGTCATACAGATGGGAGTACTCTGCTATCCTTGCACCTTAAGATGGGAGAAAAAAAATGATGCAAAAGAAGTGTGAGTGAGGCATGTTTGCATTTTTGCTCATAAACTAACAGCACTGGTACACAATAAAGGCACCATTTTTTGCTCAAAC